TAAATTATACTATTTATGTTGCAGCCTCTAGCCAGATATGTGCATGAAAATGAACTTGGAACCAGTTCTGGAGTCTTCTCGAAAGATGGTTTTGCAGATTACATTACAGGGAAACACTACGAAAAATACGAAGATATTGTATATTATAAATCTTGATTTTATGAATACTTTGATACAGTTTTATTTTTCAACCCTCAAAAATTACTTAACCTTAAGTATATAAATATTGACCAGTTGATGGAAAATCCTTTTCATGAATTTCGATACATAAGTATCGTGAAAGTTATGATGTGAATGTATAGGCACGATCGACTGGAGTGACAGTGCACGCAGCAACTACTAAATATATTTCGCTAATATGTTGGTAATGTTTAGCAGCTAGATAAAAATTAAATCCAGATGAAATATAAAATAATGATATTTTATTGATAAGTCAATTAAAACCAATTAAAATATCGATATTTCTACAGTTTTAAAAGTTACATCCCTAGTTCTATCCACCATTACAGGTGACCAAGTGAAGTTTATGTAGGCACGATTTTTTCCTAGTTGTTTCTTATCCATACTCTTATCATATCAGTGATTTTAATACATGGAATATAAAGTCAAGAATTTTAAAAATATCTTCAAATTAGGCTAACAATAATGATCAAAAATTTCGATCACTACAGTCGTCGGGGGCGTAGCTCAGATGGTAGAGCGCTCGCTTAGCATGCGAGAGGTACCGGGATCGATACCCGGCGCCTCCAATCTCTCTTTTTGTTATTTTTTTATATTTTGTACATGTACATTTTACACCAAGTCCCACGAATTCCTTTAGAACAATAAATCAAAAATTAGTTTGTAAGAAAAATGATAAAAGGCGAAAGGGGTGTAAATTACGTTTAAAATATAAAAAATGAAATAAAATGTTATATAACTTTATTAAATTAGAAACAACCTTAGATTACAATTAATTTCTACACTAATTTACATTACTGACTTATTTCAACATTGCAAAATTAACAATTTTACAAAGACTCCAAAATAGGCCTACATTTGAGAGAATGCTTAGCATAAAGAGAAAGTTCAGTAAAAAACGGCTTCATTCGTGTTTAAACGGGTAGATGGCGCTGAGACAGACTTATACCCGTATACTAAATTCAAATCTCAATTAAACAGCTATAATTGGCTGATCAACAACCAATCAGGCTACGAGATTTCAAAATCAACGGAAGATCAGTGACTTCCAGCCATGGTCCTTATTAAATTCTATCCGTCCTTTTTTAGTTTTTAGCTTATACATAGTCGCTCGTTTCATCTCACTCTAACAATAGCCATTCAGAAGTGGTGCGACAGAGAGCGATAGCAAACTATACATACAGCTATTATCCAAAAAATATATTATATAACTTACTCTCTCATCTATTATCACAGTCCATAGCTTCAACAGTGTGATATTTGAAATTCAACAATTCTTTTACAACTTAAGGCGAAATTTTAAGCCAAGGAAATAGGGGTGTAGGCAGAGCATGAAGAGGAGACATCTATGAAGTCTTTCAGTGAGAGGTAACATTTTTTTGGTCACCAGAATAGGGTGAGGTACTATTGATCCAATCATTGTAGCTGTCAAAATTTAATTAACTATGACTTGACACTAATTAGAGTGCCAAGCACGAATAATTATCACATTCGTATAGTAACATTATCGAGCGAGTTCGTCGTTCTGATTGGTTGGTTCACCGGAGCCGGCCAATCAGAACGCCGAACGCGCTCGATACTATTAAGTTACGAATGCGATTGTTATTCGTGCTTAGCACTCTGTACTATTTGGTGAGCATAAAAACGTTAACCCAAAATTCGATAGGGAAAACTTATTAGACACGTATCTTTATCTAAATCAATAGAACTTTTTTTAGATAAGACGAAATTGAATTGCTGAATAAACCCTGGTTCTATGTGGGGATGGGCTACATCACTTTTTGAAGTACTTTACGTACATTTTGTAACTTTAGGTAAGTTTTTATAATAACTATCGTGAGACATACTAAATTAACTAAAAATCGCGGATTACTCAAATCGTGAAAATAATGACACAAGCTCTACTAGTTTCGAACCAAAGAGGGGTTCTTCCTCATGAGCAGCGCGCGCGGTCGCGGCGATATCAGTGTGTCAGTAGGCTGCGCGACATCGCCACGACCGCACACGCTGCTCGTGAGGAAGAACCTCTCTGTGATTCGAAACTAGTAGACCTTTAGGTATGCATTTAAAATCAAACATCGTCGAAAGCTTTTATTCTAGGAAAATACGTGTCCAATAATATTTTAATTAATCTACTCGACGGATAATCCAAAACATTAGTCCACTCCCCTATTATAGAAATACGGAAATTTAAACAAAAATATTACTAGAAACAAAATCCTATAATAGCTTAAGATAAATTTCTACAATAGTAACACATTTTACATAATATTTATATTATATTAGGCGTTTCATTGTTTGATTTTACATAATTTTTATGGCTATTACTGTGCATAAATATATAGGACAAGACAAACATAAGTACTACGTAAGTACAATTACTAAATTATTGGCGTTTGCGTTGAGCATTTTACTTATAAATATTTAAATTGAATTAAAATTCCAACTGAACAGAATAAAAAAAGAATCACATAAAATGCTGGCTGTTTTCTTTAAATGCATTAGGCATTATGCATTTTAAATTAAGAAAAATATTTAAAAAGTTAAACAATTTTGAAAATGTTCTCTAGACATCTGATAAAGATAATATTTAATACTATTTATTATATAACGAAATAATTTCAATCGATTAATCTAAAACCAGTAAAAGAAAAAAGCATGAATAAATAAAATAGCTATATTTTAAATCTATTTTACATTTTCTCCTGAAATAGCATTATTTACACAAAAATGTGGAAATATAAATGAAATATTAAAGGCATTTTCAGATATTAAAAAATGCTGTAACTAGCTTTATAAAATGCAATTAGATTTATTATAATAATGTTGATAACGTATAAATTACGGCAGATCACGCTATGTGTTTCAGAACTGTTGTTTACAATATACATAATTTTCATACGTTTTAGAGGCCTATTTCTTTAAAACATCATAGTCGTCCAACTGGATCACTCCATCTGATTACCGGCAACCGAATCAACCTTAACGTAGACACTATGGTTGCCCAACTTGTCGTTCGACAATTATATCTTAATAAAATTAAGCCATTAGTGTCACATACCGTTGTTTGTACGTATATCTGTAAAATCTATAGTTATTATATTGATATGTAAAAGTGAAAACATATAAGATTGTTTATGGTACTACATCATACATACATTTCCTTAGGTACTCGACTAATTTCAATATAAATAACATCCAAAAATAATCCACTAAAACAAAAATTTTGATAAAAAAATAATTACTGTACTTCCATCGTTTAGGTTGGACCCGCAACATACTTTAGTCGAATACTGATTAGTTGGTTTTTTATCTAACGATTTACAAAAATAATCGACTAAAATTACGTTGCACTTAATGTAGTAATCGCTTGAAATCGGTTAGTTAGGTATATGATGCTTAAAATAATTTAATTTTGTGGATGTTTATAATTAAACAAATTGAATTTTTTTACATTGCTGTCAGAGAAATTAAAATAAAATAAAATTGAATCATACAATAATAACCGGTTGTAATAAGACTAGCAATTTAACAGTTTACAAATAAATAAAAGTCTAATGTATTAATGGCACTTTCCTAATTTTCATTTGACAAATTAATATTTTTAGATAAACAAGACAATATTGCAAACAAAGAATGAAATGAACTACCGTAACTCCAGTTCAATGAGAATCGAGATATCAAATTATATTATATAATAATCGACTAAATACTTATAAATTGAAATAAAATTACTGAGAACAAAAAATAAATGATATTTATAATATTTTCAAGATGATAATTATTATTATAAATGAAATATAAAACAAAGAAATATAGTTTTATTTAAATATAATAGTTTGCATACTTATTTAATAGTGTGGATTTATGGGCATATTTAGTATTATTTAAAAATGCAATAATGATTTGGATTTCAACCTATTTACACAAAACTATCATGATGATGTTTTATTTCAAGACTAAGTGGGAATAATTAAGGCAGGTTGATAAAAATATATTACTATTTACTATATCACTATTTCTGTATTAGATCATACTTAATTTGAGAGAAAAATAACTAAAAATTGCTTCGAATTTCTACAAAATGGAGCCTTCATCAACATCAAGACTACACACAATTTCAAATTTAATTCATTATTGAGAGAATTTCATCACGGAAACACAACAATACTTAGCTCGTCTTTGAACTCCAAACTAAAATCACTCATACGACTTTAGCTCGCGTTTGCAATTAATTGTGCAACTAAGCATTAAGGAGCAAAAAAGTGACTACGACTAAACCAGGAAATGTGATGAAACAGTCTCGACTTTTTCTAACTATCGGTCAACGACCTCTGAAGGTCAATCTGTCTATTTATAAATCAAACCATTCACCACCTTGTTGCACAAAAACAAAGTTCATTTTAGAGATAGAAAATAAAATCAATAAATGCGATGAAGTTAGTATTGTTCGTAAATATATTTTATGTATTAATCGCTTTGCAAAGCATTCTTCTGTATCTGAGATCGTTTTCTCAATGTTTATTTTAAACATAGCGTTCTAGATAACGTGAATGCGAAGGTCACACTGAATCACGTTACTATAATTACAAAGTATTGCTTTAATGAGAACTGCAAAATGCCTTTTGGAATATGCGCCTCCAAGTAATTAGAGCTGCGATAATTTCGGATAAGTGAAAACATTATGAACATGCTAATTTGTTCTTCGAATAACATTACTGTTCAACACAAATTTTTCACTGGACTGAGGCCTTAGTACAAGTTTGTTTCACGTTTAATGTAATCGAGTACGCGTTCGGCGCTATGATTGGCCGCCTGCAATGAACTAACCAATCGGAGCGCAGAAGGCAGACTCGTTTCGATTACTTTTAACGTGAAACAAACTTGTACTAAGCCCAGACTATGAAAATCCGACACAGATAAGTACATTTAACACCGAACATATTTAAGAGCTATTAAGTAAAAACCTATTAAATTAATGAATTCAAAACACGATCGTTAGGTTATCAAACAACGATATCTCTTACATAATAACGAAGCGAAATATCAACTAAAATAATACTAAAACTACGTAAAAAACTATGATTTTCATTTATTTGATGACCTAACAATCGTTTTATTGTGAAACTATCTTCAATTCAGATTATGGCGGATAAATGCACAACGCATATATTTTATACTATAATTTTTAAGACAGGAATTATAATATTGACTTACTGCCGCTGGTACTCCAATTAATTAGTGTATCGGAGGTGGCGCCATCTTCGATATCTAATAGTAAGTTTTCCCTATCATTATCTGTGCTATCCTTTGGTGAGAAGACGATATCTTCATCATTAGTTTGAAGGTTGACGTAAGACAGTGATTTCTTCTTCTGTTCAAGGTCGAAGATCTCCAGATCCTCGTCCTCGTCTTCATCAGATTCCATGGTAAGGGGAACCCTGGACAGTTCTAAGTTATCCCGCCTATCTTCTGACTGGAGAACTCCATATCGGAATTGATTTGCGTCATTTGTATTGTGCGCGTTTCCTGCATCGTTATTCTTGCTCTTTTTCCTGTAATTTTATTAAATTTTCGGTTAGGTATTTAATTTGTTTATATCAAATTGGGGAAAAATGATACAATCACATAATATGGTCAGCTCAAAACGTGCGGTTAACCACGCGTGCTCCTAGACTGAGTAATTGGACTTTGTTTCAGGATAGAATAAGTAGTGGAGCTATATCATCCATTATTTATCTACCTAATAAGGAATATTTCGTTACCTTGAAGAACTGGGAGGATGACAGGGTATGAAAATTAAAAATCTAATTAGTCCTTAAGTTGGTAATTAAAAAATATTAGACACGTATTTTTTTATTTTGTCGTATAATAAAACAATACTTAGATAAAACGAATCAAAGTTTAGGAGTGGGGCTAAAACATGATTTCTACGTATAAAATGTACATAGAAGTGACGTCACGCAACATTTCAAATCAATATATCGTCGAAAGTATTCGTTTCTGTAAGAAAATAAAAAATACGTGTCTAATGATTTAAAATAATCTACCAGACGAACATTGAAATAAAAATTAGGCATCTACTGATTGACTGTATTGAGTAAAATATTAAATCTTCATATATAAGGAACATAGTCAACTGTAATTGCAGTAGTTGACTCGAACTGATAACTGATATTTATTACATTATACCTTTAGCAATAACAGTTATGGCAATATCATTCCAGAGCCGTGACATCATTTGCTGTAGAGAAGAAAATTCTCTCGAGATGAGAAATTAAAATACCTATCAAGGCATGAGAAATATTGCATCAGCAAAATACTGAACTATCTTAGTACACAAATGACATCATTTACTACAATATTTATTGCTATTTCATGAACGTTTGCGATAATAATAAGTTCAGATTTTATTATTAAATGTGATAAATGACTTGCAAACAGGTTGAACACACAGTACATGTTACTATTTGTAGGTACCTACGTAGAAGACACGTGCTCACGAATTCTGTCCTTACTAACTAATAATCACACTGAATAGGCAAATTTAGTGCAATATTTTAAATCCAAATAGCTACCTATGCAACGGTGTCGATTACTTTCTTCTTTATAATATTAGTAATGAAAAGTGGGAGCTTAAATATTTTATTGTTAATTAGCGGTTGCCTACGACTCGTCCGCGTAGAATATTAATTTTAGAACATAACATTTTTTTGTTCAATTTTTCGAAATAAAAGTGGCCTATGTTTCTCGTTAGCTGATGTACAGCTACCTGCCAATAACAGCCCTGCAAAATCGGTCCAGCTATTCCAGAGATTAGCCAGTACAAACAGACTGACGAGATATAAATTGTAAAAAATGTTATTTTGGTATGTGTAATGTATGTATCTATATTCATATGCATGTAGTAGAAAGCGGTTATTTTAATATTACAAACAGTCACTCCACTTTATTTATGTGTATAGATGTGCACATTATGCCAACTTTATTTAGGCATAATATAATTAAATTCGGTATAAAAGATATGTAGTGTATTTGAAGCTTTCTTATGGTAAAAATAGAACATAACTCGGACCATTGCACTCATGTCTGCACAATGTTTTAGTCATGTTTATAACACGTCAATGGCGCCTAAACACTGAATATAAAATTAATGCGCATGGCGGCATGGTACGTCGGATTACTCACAATCATAAGATACCCAATTGTGGCGCTAGAGGGATGCGCATGCGCTAGCCTCTAATAAGCAAGGATGTGGAAACTATAGTCCATCTGTTTAGGTAATTAACTAAAGGTAAACAAACAAAACCACGTGACACAGAGATACTTAACCTTCTATTATTTCAAATATTTCTCGTGTTTTAATTTAAACTAAATTCACTTTAAAATCGTTCATTTGTCACACACATACATACAAGCACAAATGCCTAAATCGTACACAAGAGCCTATGGGTCTATTTCATTATCATGTTTAAATAGAAACTATTCTGAATCTGATGTAAGGATTTCTTTCTTGTACGGATATGTGTCTTTGGGCCAAGTTTCTTCAATATATTTGAACATATTAATTAGAAACGATGAATAACCTAAACTTAAATAACTCAAGAACAAAAACAAAACAAAGAAACAAGATAAATTCAACAAAATAGGAACGCGAGCGCAAACGACGAGAGAGCTGTCAAGAGCGTAATACACGCTACTTTCATTATCGCGCTACATCTTAATTGTACTCTTTAATTTGACAACATTATCTAATGCTTCGTTCTTATAGAAAGGTTTTGGATACCTGGGATTTTAGGCTCTTTATGGTGTCTATTGTAATGAAATATTATATTATTTAATAAATGTTATTAAATTATTATGCTCAAGCAGATATATATAATATTTACTAAGAAATAAGTGAAAAGGAAGAGAAACATAACATTTAATAGAGAAAACTGTCGTAAAAATGGAAACAATTTTATTTTCTTATGAAGTATTTTGAGTCATGGAAATGTCAACTATAAAGAACCCTTTTTATGGTTTGTTTACAAATAGTTAACTACCTAAACAGACGGAGTATAGATGAAAAAAATATTATCCCTATAAATATGCTTTATAGGAAAATAATTCTGTTTGTCATTTTATAAACCAATATGATCCGATTTGGACTAGTTAGAACTTTGTAAGATAACTTGCCTTTTATCATTCATTTGGTAGAATTTTACGCGAGCAGGAAGCTAGTTATGTTAGATCTAGTATATCCATTTGTTTAGGATATTACTCCGGTACTTAACCGATAATGACATATAATCAAACAGTATTATCAATAGACATATATTTTTTAATCAATAAATACTGTTAAAATATCTTGTTTTTTTTTTCATTGAGTGATATGACGATGACTAAGATAAAACAATCCAAGACTTTTTCCTATATCATAATTATCATCATCATATCAGCCACAAAACATCCACTGCTGAACACAGACTTTCCCCAATGACATCCAGATCGGATGGTTGGAAGCCACTTGCATCCCTGTATAGTTAACAATATTATTTTACCTGTAGAATATAAAATATGCGACTGCCAGCAGCGCAAATCCTCCAAACACGATGAACCCTCTCTTGAGTACTCCGGGATTGTTGAGGTCTATCTTAATTGGTTTGTCCGTAGTCGTTGCATTTAGTTTAGTCTCGTTGACTGCTGGAGCAGGAGCTGGATTCACGACTGTTGCATTGCCTGTAATTATTTAAAGATAGGAATTATAATAATATCCTCCTGCCTATATTGTTACTAAGATGTCTGTGAGGTGCTAGAACCAATCTTAAACCCATGTCAATCTTGCCAGTATGTGTTTACGGTGATAGTGTTTTACCACTATTGGGTTTAAATACAAAGCAATCATCACATATAAAATATTAATATTCAGTTTGAATTTAGTTTAGGGTCAATGCCCCTTAAACACTAAGTAAAGGTCATTTGCCAAAATCCACTTTATATTTTCAACGAGAGCACAAAATCAGTCATTTCATTATTTCCTGTGAAACCATGTGGGAACATGAAATATCAGACACATCATTATAACAATCATACAAATTTCCAGTTGATTATTGTATTGTGTGTATGGAGTGCATTGACCAATTTTAGATGAGTTAACAATAATAAATAAAATATAACGCTGCAAATTTTAAAACCATTCATGTTTATTATTTCCGTTTAAACTTTTGCTAACTTCAAACCCTTCATATAGAAGTAGCTATGATTATGATATATTTGAGTAGTTTGAAATTCAGAACAAAGATAATTTTTTGTTAGATATCTATAATTTCCACTTTCTAGGGAGTTGATAAAAGTAAGGGTAGTAGACATGAAAATTAAAAATTTAATTAGTCTGTCAGTTATAATGAAAAAATATTATACACATTTTTTATTTTGTCGTATAATAAAACAATCAAATCAATCAAACGTGACACGATATTACAAATCAACATATCATCGAAAGTATTTAATTTTGAAGAAAAGAAAAAATTGTGTCTACTCTTTTTAAATAATCTACCAGATGGACATTAAAATATAATTTAGGATACTACCTATTCATATTGTTTCTCTTTATTTAAGAACAAAGTTATAAATATTTATCTAGAATTTGTCCCTACTTACGAATGTATGTTTATTAACATACATTCGTATGTTTATTAACATACATTCGTCATGCCTATCTTACATCAAGGTAACCACAGACAAGCAATTGATTATTGGAATTACTCTCCTCCTTCACTTAGATATAATTCATTGATCAATCTCTTCACATATATTTGTTAAAAATATCTTTACTGATGGCTCTTTTTTTTACTCTTTTTTTTACTATTTACTTTTCATAATAGGCATAATACATTTAACACTAATAGGTATACACTGCATTAATATTACATCATGTGTTAATGAGAACTATAAAGGTCAGTTAACAATTGTTCTTAAAGAATGTCTCACAATACTCTGAAAGAATGAATAAACAATACACAAGCCCAAGAAAAATACTGAAAAATGAATAAGAATATAATAACAATATGTTTTTCAAACATTTGTTCATGTCATATTTTATGGTGTAGGCACCTAAAACTAGAATAGAAAATAACAAATAATAAAAAGTATGTTAAGTCTTGCCTTATAATTACACAATAAGTAAAAATAATTGGCACAGCACAAGATAATAAAAAAAGATTACAAAAGAAATATTCATTTTCATAAATAAACATTTATTGTAATTGTGAAAGGATTAAATAATTAATAAGATATATCACAAAGCCAAGTCATCACAAATATGTTATGCAATTAAAGTCTCATACATTAAATGTGAGTTTAGTGAATGTTCAATTAACTACGAGATAAACAAACCTAATCTGAACCAATTGGTCAATATTTATATTAGAAAATACGAAAATAAATGTTATAGACCAACAATGAACAAGCTGTGTTCCTGCAAACAGTAACAAAATGCTAGAAGATGGATGACCATAACTAGATACAATACTTAGAGTTAAAGAGTCAAACTCCCCATTTGTAGTAATCTAACAGGAAACATAAAAGGATTGATAAGGAACTGTAGTTAAAATAGCGAAAAAGGATAATGTTTGACAATAACAAGAATTATTCAGTCTCACCACTGGCTGGCGGCGGTGGAGGTGGGTCGGATGCCACTTTTTCTTTCGTTCCATTTTTAACTTCAACTGCTACAGGAGGTTTAACATCCCCCGATGGCGCTGTCTTCTCGGCAGTCGCAACGACGTCTGGCCCACCCTCACTCTGCACAACAGAACCAGCCTCAGCCTCTCTCCTCACTCTCATTAACCTTGCAGCATTGTGTACAGAAGGCCACAGTGAAAACCTTCTATTGAACTCTGCAACACGAGCTCTTGTTGCCCCATCACTAATATACTCAGTCGTCCTCACACAGTTCAAACACAATAACAAGAGACCACAACGTATGAGCATATTGAATTCTTTTAGAGTTTCTCTACGATAAACTAAGACCACAGTTTCACTAAATGAGGTGATTCACTCCCTCATAATTTTTAATTTAAACTTGTGGATAGTTTCCGACAAATTCGCAACGCATCAGGTTGATTGACGATTTGACATTGACGTTACAAACTGTCAGCGATATGGTTGACGTCAATGTCAAACTAACAAAACCATCAAGGCAAAAACAAACTGTCGTGTGTGTGGTATTGCGTGACTAAAGGGCATTGACTAAAATTGGTGCCTTTCTTTTTTCTGGCGGCAGTCGATGATTTATGGAAATTATTATCTAGAATGACATTACAAACGAAATTGTCTATGGGCTCATATATGGAAATCTCAGTCTGGACTGAGTTATGAGCGTCGAAAAGAGCTGAAGTCAAACATTTTACTTTGTTTTTTTTATTCTAATTATTCATATTTTTGTTACAATTCCTAACTTCAAATTGCGCGCCTCTGTACGCCGGGCATAGGAACACCATATCACACCACAAAATATCCATATTGCCAAGGACTAATTTTTATTTGCTATTTTCTCTCAGTCGATAATTTGTGGGATGCTTCTAGGAGTTGTGTCATGAAGCTCCATGAGCGTCAGCTGAGGTACCAGTGGTGGGTTGAGTAGTGGTAGCCGTCCAAAAATCTAAAAAAGTATTATTTTTTTGCCTTTGACTCCTGGTGATAGAGTCATCTACTTTATAGTTAGCATAATATTTTAAAGAAAGGAAACCGTCGACTTTGTAAAATGATGGACTATACGTCAGATGAGCGCATAATTTTTTCTTATAATATGATCAGTTGATATGGATTATCCATCACTTTGTGACTGAATAATGATATCTTCGTACAAAATCTTATGCTAGATGTAGATAAAAGTATTAACTAGTTAGATTAGTTCCTAATCGGAAGTAAGTCGGGAGAAGTAGACAGAAAAATGATTTTTTCGTGTATCCGCTACCGACGCCTCAGTTGACGAACATAGCATTTCATGATAAGGCTCAGTAAAGTACTTTGCGGGTTTTCGACTGAGACGAAATTGATCATGAAAATCTGTCATAGGCCTTAAACCGTATACATACAATGTGAATACGCTAGCCAATCAAGCGAAATGTTTTTTTTTTAATTTCAGCAGTGGCCAATTAATGGTTCAATCTGTTCCATTCATTTTCATTCATTTTTTTTTATTCAATAAACAATTTACATTGTATCTGAATGTCTTCATACATTATCATAAATCATAATCATAAATTACATTGCAATATAATCCATACAGCATGGATCAGTCATATTACTCATAAAACAAAAAATAAAATCAACAGAACAATTTAAATAATAATAAAACGCGAAATAATCAAATATAACATGACAAAAATCCAATTTAAAAAGAAATTACATAATTGGGTACTTTTCACGATAATAATAGATCAATTCCTTGGCCTTATAACAAAAAAAAAAAAAAAAACAAAAAAAAAGTAAGTCCACAACAAGCTTTACTATATTCCTTGAAATCGTTTATAAACATTTATTACAAAATATTTCTGACAAGTAAACGAAGAAATATGTGTTGTGTACGGTCACCATCATCAAAATAACAGGAATAATATACCACTATTTTCACATCTTTGAACTGACATAACTCGGTTCGGACTGTGTTTTTGATATAAGACGCCGTATATTTTTTTGTTTGTAATGGTATTCTGCATCAGTTTATCCACATCCGATCAACTGCCGCGAAAAAATTAAAAGGCACCATGCTCCATACAAATTTGGTCATTGTCATTTAAGTCGATTTAAAAAAATATATAACTCTATATCGAATATTGTGTAGTTGAATCGATACCGTATTTTATAGTAATTTAATTTATATTGGTAATTATTTTTGCCAGATTTTCCGCTGCAAATAATGTATAGAAGAAATAGGTAACATGAATGTCCTAGTAAAAATGGCCCTAAAAATGATATTAAGTAGTACAAACTGTTAATTTAAATGAACGATATATTGTTATTGTTTATTAATATTATCGTTTATTTTTATTTATCTTTTAGCGCATGTATCGATGTTCTTATCTAAAGTATTTATTGAATAACCAAATTGCAAATTACTTAATTATCAATGCAGAACTACCTTCCATAAGTTTGAATTTAGTGCCACGGTTGGAGAAGTTAAATTAAACCTTTATTCCTATACCTACCAACATTATGAAAAGCAGCACAATATCAAAAATGTACCTAAGTACCTAATAAAAACTCGTAAAACAAGCATTCAAATTATTTTAATTGGGTCATTTTCTTAAATCCACCAACATAACAGTAACCTGGTATCCCGCACACATTTTGGGGTGGATCAATCATTTCTGAGTGACATACCCATAACTACTTATTATAAGTACTCTCAGAACAATAGGTACTCTTTGGTGACATTGCATCCGCTTTTTTGAACGGCCCTGTGAAGAAATAATTGGTTTATTAAATATAAAGAATAATAGCACAGCAAATGTTGGCTCAAATCTACTGGGTGACCACTGCTGTACAATAGTCATGGGTTCGGTTCCCGCCTGAGGTAAATAGAGCTAATGGATTGTTCAGATTTTTTAGTTTCGTTTGCGTAGCAAATGAGCAGATAGATCACCCCTGATGATAAGCAAATTAGACAGACTGGCCAATAGGATTAATCATAAACCGGTAACTTTATTTTATAACATAACATAACATCAAGCATCATGGGCA